ACACACACACACACACACACACACACACACACACACACACACACACAAAATCTCTCTCCCCCCACAAGCTTACATACTGTTCTAGGGGTTTGATCTAACCTAATATTTAACTAACACTAACCCTGTGCCAGAAAGAAGTAAATGTTCAGCCTATCACAGACCGAGAAATCTGGAAAACGGAAATTTCTCTAAATCACATAGTTGTTAAGGGGGCGATGCACTGTCCTGGGGCCACACCATATGGATTCCACCACCCTCCATCAGGAATGCGGCTTTAGACACTTCTCACAGAAAGGCAACATTGCTACCATCCCAAGGGGTGACAGGTTAGAAAGGGGGTAGCAGACACCTGGGAAGCAAATCACCTGGAAAAATAAAATACCATGCTAGAAAAGTGGTAAATACCCACAAGATACAGAAGCGAAGTCTGACACCATGCAGAATTTATGTTTCCAGCGATGATGCAAAGGACAGAAAGACCTGCCTCTGTCTCCAGGGTGGAGCTGTCCCCACTCGGTGCTCCATCCCTGGCACCCTGCAGGCTGAGTACCACAGGGCAGGGAGAACCATCATTTGCTTTGAGTCTCTTCTCTCTAGTGATGAGTCCCACTATCACTGTCCCCTTCAGATTCACGAGGAAGGCCTCCAGGGCACGGGGATCACTACGGTTAGTGGACATTCTTTCTGCTGACCACAGGGGCAAGTCCAGACCTGCAGTACCTCGGCCTCCACACTCACAACCTTTTAAAAATGCAGAGACTCTAGGGCCTAAATCGTTTACAACAAGCAGACCCTATGTGTTTGTTTATGAATCTATTCATGTGTACGTGTGTGAGGAAGGAGGGCAGCCAGGCAGAATTGGTTTGTTCCTTCCACCAAATGGCAGGAGTTGGGAACTGAACTCTGGTCATGAGGTCTGGTGGCAGGTGCCTTCACCTGCGGAAACATTTCACTTGCATTTCAAAATGCCCTCGGGCTGCTGGCACGGGCATGCTCAGATGGAGGCCCTGCCCTTGACGTAGATTCCCAGAAGCATGCCTAGAACAGTCTAGAAAGGTTATGTAGCACTGTCCGTTGGAGGAGAGCAACACTGTGTCCTTGGGTGGATTCAAGCGAACAGTGCATGACAGGTTCTGCTGGGATACGGGGACTCACTCCCTCAGTTTCCCAAGGTCACCTGGCCACAGAATCTTTTGATTCTGTGCCAGCTATTTATAACCATGAAGCTGAGAAATGCCAGCGTAGGCCCTCGCCAGTGGCGACGAGGCAGATCTAGGTGGCCAAGGTGCATTCAATGTGGCACCCAAACTTCTAGCTCAGGGCTGGTAAGTGGCTCTGTGGCTAAGATGCTTGCTGCCCAGACTGTTCACAGAGTTCCATTCCTGGGACCTGAGAACAGTGTGGCTTGGCTACAGGTAGGTCTATCATCTTCCTCGCCCCAACAGCTGGAAAAGGACCAAGGAAGAACATCCCGGCTGGAGCCAAGAGGTAGCTTTACATATAAATCCTAGCACTCGAGATGCTGAGGCAGGAGGATTGCTGCCAGGGTGAGGTCAGCCTCGACTCCATTGCAAACACTATCTCGAAATACCAAAAAGCTGGAGAAGACTGGTTCTTTAAAGGCTCCTAGGCAGGATAACAAGAGGGTCAGACATTGAAGTCTGAACCTCAAAACCAAGGATCATGAACACATACATCCTCAAAGAGCAGCCAGGCTGGGGACCAAGCACAAGCACTTGGGGCTAACTCTGACCTGGGCCTCAGCTCTTCCCATTTGGAGCACAAGTTTGGCTCTTGTTTCCAGACAGGCATTGAAAGGTGCTCTGATATCTCCAAGTTCACTGAGCCACTGTTCTAGTCCTGGGCACCCGAGCGTGTAATACCCTGCGTCAGATTCGGTCCACAGTGGCTGCTCGCCCTCCCTAGTTAATCTTGTCAGCCTGTTAATTT